CCATATTGGTCAGCGGTTCAACGCCCGTCCGGCTGATCCTCTTCGGAAAGAAAAAAAAATACATGGTACATCATAGTGAAGCTATTCCATCCCCAAGGACTCCGGCCGCCGCTGCTCCGTGGATGAGCCACCAGGTGTCTTCACCAAAAAACTCATAAAGTGAGTATTGGTTTTGCAGTAACAGATGAAAAGTACACGTAACAGCGGTTTTTAAACTGATTTTGTTGAGATGAATGCATTAGAAAAATTAACTAGGATTCTTGAATGGCTTATCGTTCAAAGAGCGGGTCAGAAAGCGCGCCCCAGCAAGTTTCGCGAAAATTCTAAATTCATGTCCAAAAATGTAAAAATCAATAATTCTGTAAACAGATCAAATTTAATTTTTTGTTGTTTTTCAGAAAAGTACATACCGTATTTCCTCTAATAGAAGCCCACATCTATTTGAAGCCCACCCTCCGAAATGCTTAAAAACATAGAAGCACATCCTCTAAGAGAAGTACGGGCACTTCAGTTAGTGCAGTTTGAACAGTTCATTTCGTCTATTCGGTTATTGTGAAAATTTATATCTCTGAATTTCCAATCCAATGGGTCCCTTTGGAAAAACCAGAACCCCTTTAATACCCCAAAAAATGTGATCTCCTCTTTTTTCACTCCCGCACATTTTCTCATTTCCATTCCATTCCATTCCACCCAATCCCATATCCATCCTCCACACCCATCCCTCTTTTTATTCCTTATTTCCATTCTTCCTATTTTTCCTCACATTTCTCATTTCTCGCCCGTTTTTCTTCTTCATTTTGAATCCAAAAGAAGAATTGACAATCTTCGGAGAGCGAAAAAAAACGAAGGAAATGAGGTCCTGGGGTGATAATTACGCTACTGAATAAGCACAGAAAATGGAATGGAATGGTCATTTTTCTTGTTTTATATGCAAATTTTCTTTTCCCAGAGCGGTACATTCAGTCATGAACGGTTCGGTACGGAAATTCTGAATTTCCAACTACCATAAAACCTGTAATAGAAAGAACCTCTAACTTTGAAGTACGAGGTCCATTATCTCGATTCCTATAAATGATATCAAAAAGTTTTTAACTGATAAATTGTTTATCATAATAAGACCAATATTTTATCAGTTGACAACTTTTTGGTATCTCTCACAGGAGCCGAGATAATTGAGCTCAAAGTTAGGAGGGAGGCAGCCGACCGCGTATCTCAGCCAGCAAGTTCCGACTTTTTAACTTTGGGCGC